AAGGTGGGTGTGAATGTGGGTGTGGCTGTGTCTGGTAATTTCTCCATCAGTCTTGAGCACACTAGATTATAATATGAGAAGCAAAAAGTTTCTTAAAGCGACAGTACAGCATGAAGCAATGATAATAAATTAAATTCTTCCAACAACTGGTTTCTTGGGTATGATGGTGGCAGACTTGAGGCAGGCAGGGGTGGTGGCCTGTGCCAGGGAGAGGTTGAAGATCTTGGTGAAGACCTCTGAAAGCTGGTGAGCACAGGCTTTCAGGACCTTTCCAGGTACGCCATCAGGTCCTGCCGCTTTCCCCTGTTCACCCTGCTGAGCACCTGTTACCCCTCCCATGTTTGTACAGTCAGTGGTTTGGAGACGGGCACAGGGTGGAGCTGGGCTGGTGTGTCTGAAGACTGCGGGGTAGGATCTCAAAGCGTGAAAAGAAGACGTTCCTCTGCCAGAGACGCACTCCTCTCTTCAGCTGTGGTGTTTGTCCCCCGTAGTTTGTCAGCTACTGTATCCCTTGCCACACTTGCCGTGGGTTGTTAAGAGAGAGGTGTTTCTCAATCCTCCTTTTGTAGTTCAGCTTGGCCTCCCTGATGCCTCTCCTTAGGTCAGCTCTGGCAGTGCTGTAAAGAGCTCTGTCTCCTGACCTGAAGGCTGCATTGTGTGTCCTGAGGAGTGCCTGGACCTGGCTAGTCATCCAGGGCTTCTGGTTAGCGAACACCCAGATGCGTTTCTCCACTGTGACGTTGTCCATACAGAACCTCATGTAGGACAGCAGCATCTCAGTGTGTACAGCCAGGTCCCCATGGTGAAAGAAACTCCAGTCTGTGTGGTCGAAACATAATGGAGACGCAGCAGTCACGGATATAGCGATTGCCCCGCATGTGTAGTTCCAGGTCATCTGTTTTGTGGACCACCGATCTGGCATTGGTGAGAAACATGCTTGGGAGAGGAGGTTTGTGGGGGGTTTTCCTCAGCCTTTCTAGTACTCCCGATCTACACCCCCGCTTGCGCTTCCTTTCACAATGCCGCTTCCTCCGCCTGCCGGAGCCGACAACAATCCACGTCGCTCCCGGTGGTCTCGCTATCTCGTTCGGTGTGTTGAACAAGTGGTGAGACTCTGCTGTAATGGTCAGCTTTGTGTTGAAACCGATGTCCAGAAGCTCCTGTTTGCTATAACACTGATTTGCGTGCGAAAACATACCAACAAAAATACAAAAACACAACAAAACAACACCAAAAGCGAAGAGCTGTGAGCCGCTGTGACTGTGCGCGCCGCCGTTGAAGTACTCAAGAAAGCGGCCCTAGCCACTCTCCAGACTCCCCGGGCTTGCTTAATGTTCCTCTGTACTGATGGAACCGCCACCTCCATTGCTCTGGGAAAAGAAGAGGCTGATAACGGCAGACCGGTCACGAAGTCCACAGCGATGTGGGACCAGGGGCGGCTCGGGGTCCCCAGTGGCTGCAGGAGACCCCTCAGGGAGTGATGGGAGGACTTGCCACGAGCACAGGTAGAACATGCCAACACAAAACTCCTTGTATCTCTGGTGATCGTTGGCCACCAGAACCGTGGTCTCAGGAATTCCAACATCCTATGAACACCAGGGTGGCACGACAACTTAGAGGAGTGGCCCCACTGCAGCACCTGAGACCGAGACCTCTGGCACATATAGATGACCCACTGGTCCATTCCCTGGAC